CCCCAGGAAAGGTCAGCTTGTTAGCAAGACAGAAAACTTAGACAATAAACCTACTACTCCATCCAAACACCACAGAAAAAATACTGTGGTTCCTTCTCCATCTTGCCAGCAAAGACTGAGTGGGGAGCTTAGATTTCTACCCTTTCCACCCTTGAGACAAGGTCTCCCAACCCTCCTGCAGGGATGCTGTCAGAGAAGCTAAGTACAAAGCTGGGCTTTCATCCCCACCTAGTAGTAATGAGGCCTTCTCCCCACCCTGGTATTAGGAGAGACTATGTAGGGAGTCTTGACTTTCACCCAGCCAGCAGTAAGAGGTGCCCCTACCTCTCCTGGTTTGGGTGGTGTCTGAGGAGGCTTGTGGAGAGACATGACTTTCATCACCCTTCAGCAGTAATAAGGCCACTCTCACTGTGGCGTCAGTGGAGACCATGTGAGAAGCTGGAACTCCCACTACTGCTCAGCAGTAATAAGGAATCCTCCTACTCCTTCCCTCTGGTGTCCACAGAAGCTGAGGATGAACCTAGGCCTCTACATTCATCTATCTGTAGTGAGGCTGCCTCCCTCCTTTCCCTGCTGGAGCTATGTCAGAAAGAACAGCTAGCTAAAGTGAAAGATTTAAATAAGTTGCAGAATCTCATAATATAATATGAAAATGTTCAGGTTTCAATAGAAAATCACTTGTCATTCTAAGAGCCAGGAAAATCTCAAACTGAATGAAAAAAGACAATTAACAGATGCCAATACAAAGACAAAGGAAATGTTCGAATTATCTGACAAAGATTTTAAAGCAGCCGTAACAAAATTGCTCCAATGAGCAACTATGAACATGTTTGCAAATGAAAAAATAGAAAGTCTCAGAAAATAAAGATCTAAAGAATCAATATAAAGAATCAAATGTAAATTTCAGAATTGAAAAACACAATAACTGAAATTAAAAACTCAGTAGACTAATTAGGAGACTCAACATGGTAAAGATGTCAATTCTCCCCATCCCATATTGATATACAGGTAATGCAATTCTTATCAAACTTCCAGCAATATTTTTTGCAGATTTAGATGAGATTATTCTAAATTTTATATATAAAGGCAAAGATATTAGAAAACCTAACACAATTTTTTTAAAAAAGAAAAAATGGAAGAATCAGCTTCTGTGATTTGAAGATAATAAATAGCTATAGTAAACAAAATTTGGTAGTATTGATGGAGGAATAAGACACAAAATATAATCAAACAGAATACAGAACACAGAAACAGACACAAACCAATATGCCCAACTGATTTTTGAAAGGGTGTAGAAACAATTCATGGAGGAAAGATAGCCTTTCAACAAAGAATGCTGGACCAATTGGACAAAGGCAAAAATACCACAGATAACACATAAACAAAAACAAAAAAAATCTCAAAACAATCAAATAAAACCCCAAAACCTTGACCTGCATCTCTCACTTCATACAAAAATTTACTTAAAATTGATCACAGACTTAATTATAAAACATAAAACTATAAAACTTTTAGGATAAAACATAGAAGAAAGTTCTCAGGATCTAAGTCTAAACGAAGGATTCTTAGACCTGGCATTAAAAAGCATAGTCCATTAAAAGAAAAACTGATAAACTGGACTTTATGAAAATGTACAACTTTTGCTCTGGGAAAGAGCCTATTAAGAAGGTCAAAAGACAATCTTCAGGTTAAGAGGAAATTACAAACAACATACCTGACAAAGCACTAATATCTAGAATATATGTAGAATTCTTAAAACTCGACAGTAAAAGAGCAAATAATCCAATTAGAAATGGATAAAAAATGTGAAGAGAAATTTCACTAAAGAGGATAGACAGATTGCAAATAAGCACATGAACAGACATTTCACATCATTAGCTATTAGGGGAATACAAATTAATACATACCTATTGGAATAGCTGAAGTAAAAAATAGTGACAACAAATGCTAGTAAGGATATGGAAAAACTGGATTAGTCTTACATTGCTGTGGGTACAGTCACTCGGAAAAACAGTTGGCATTTTCTTAAAGCACTAAATATGTAACTACCTTATAACCAAGCCATAATACTCATGGTTATTTATCACAGAGAAATAAAAACATATGTTCATACAAAAACCTACACATGGATGTTTATAGCAACTCTATAATAGCCCCAAACTGGAAATAACCCAGATGTCCTCAATGGGTCAATAGTTAAACAAACTCTGGTGCATCCATATAATGGAATAATACTCAGAAACAAGGAAGAAAAAACTACTGATACAACAACTTGAATGAAGCTCAGGTTATATATGGTACAATCAATCCTATTTATATAACAATCTAGAAATGAAAAAAATTATAGAAATGGAGAAACAACGGATTAGTGATTTCCAGGGCATAGGGGTAGGAGGGAGGTGGGTGTGTCTATAAAAGGGCAACACAAGGGATCCTCGTTGTGATGGAAATGTTCTGTATCTTGACTGTACACATGCCATTATCTTGGTTTTCATATTGTACTATAGTTTTGCAAGATGTTACCAATGGGGAAAATTGAGTAAAGGATCTATGGAATCTCTCTGTATTATTTTTTACAACTGCCTGTGAATCTATAATTATCTCAAAATAAAGAGTTTAATTTTAAAAAAGAAAAATTATAGCTAACAGTGAAGGAGAAGATAGAAAATCTTTAATAGAAGAACTCACCAAGCTGACCTGTTAGAAGCTACTTATTGAAAACTAAAGCTTAATAGCTCCAGGGCAATATAGTAATATAACAGAGAGAATATTGAATGGATGTTCATAATAATGATTCCAGGGCATGATGAAAAAAATCAAACCACATTGATCATAATCTATATAAAAGATTATAGAAATGTGCATTATATTTTAGAAAGCTTTAGATTACAATGTTAAAACAAAGTTTTCATAATGTATAAGTATTTAATTTCTGACAATGCTCTTTATGCACCACTTATAATTAATCCTCAACTCCCCCTGACTCTACCTACTCAATCCTAACTCCACCTTCATATCCATTTTCTTGCCTAGAACATTATAACAGCTTTCTACTGTACTCTTTGGCTCCAGCCTGTGCTTTTAATTCATCCTCTACCTCTTTGCTATGAGCTAAAATGTAATTCTGATCTTGACACTCCTCTGATTTTTACTCCTTCAACAGCATCTAAGGATAGGTTTGATTTCTTTAGATTGGCACAAAAGTTATTTCATAATATGTCTCTTACCAACTCTATAGCTACATCTGATATTCTTCCATATTTGCCCAAGCATCAGTCACATAGAACCTTTGTCTTATATTTCATAATATTAGGCCTTTTCATGTATTATTCTCTCTGAATATGACACTTTTCCTATTCATCTTCCCTAGCTAACTCTTGGTTAACTAATAAGACTGTACTATTCCAGGAATTTTTCCTTGTCCTGTAAATCTATGGGATGCACTTCCACAGTACCTCATAGAGGACTCTATCGTAGTATTTACTATAATACATAGCATTACCATCCTTTATTACTTCACTATTAGTAATTTGAAAGCAGGGATCATACCCCTTATTTTTTATCCTCCATAATATGAAACCTTGGAATTTCCTAGTAAATGTTAGTTGGGTGAGTAAATGACTGTCTTTTATGACATTCTAGTCAAAGATAACTTCTAAATATTCTAATTTCCTTTATATAGTATGAGTGTATTCTCCATGGATATTTAAATCTATAAATAGATTATTTGAATCTATTTATATTTTTTAACTTATAGTATATATCTGTATGTGGAGGATTGATAAATATGACTTACTGTTTAAAGTATATTCTACTTTTTTCATGCTTTATGGGAAACTCCAAGCTCCAATATTCTCATAAATAGATAATGTAGCTGCTCATACTTTATTATTTCATTGAAGTAATTATTTCATTGATTCTCTAGATAATTTTCTCTGCCTTAAGAATATTTAAGGAATCTTTTATCATAGATTTTAGTGACCCTTCCAAGTGCTTGTCCCTCATCTGTTATTTGGTAGTCCTTCCTCTTCTTCTATGGGCAATTTTCCCCATTCTGTCTTATTCTGCCAGTTAGTTACATAAGACTTTTGTCTTATCATCTGAACTTCTAAGTCTATGTGAAAGAAAAACAGAAATATATGCCTATAAAACAAAAACAAAACAAAGTTTCCTTAGATAATTTCAACTACATCAGACAATAAAAGAGTTAATTTAGAGAGAAATATAATGCCAAAAAAATTATAGGTAAATAATTTTATATTCCCCAAATGGGATTTGCAACATATGCCCAATGATGTAGTTAATAAACTCTAGAGATTTTCTGCTGTACATGTATTGCAGAAATATGGACAAGGTAGCAACAACAATAAAAAATGGCATAACTGCCCTGTCTCAAAAACAAATATAATAATTTAAAAATACCCTGAAAAATATAAAGTAGTCATTGAATAGTCTGTATATTTACTTTATTATAGTTTCTAGTTTATACTAGAAAACTCCTTTTTTCTAGTAGTCATTGATAAAATTATTTTTATCACATTTCTACCATTATTTATATTTTCCCCATGTTTCTGATTGAATTAATAAGGGTGGCACATACAGAAAAATTATATAGAAGTGAATAATAAATCAAAATCAAATTATATTCTATTAGAGACTAAATACTAATTGGTAATTTTTTACTTCATTATGAAATGATAAAAAAGAAGATAACACATTTTATAGTGATCCTAAGTAGTGTAAATGACGCTGTAATAAGCTGTTTTGTGACCAAAAAATGGCTGTTGTGGTCACAGTCAGTGAACTAGACAATATACCACCATATTTATGCTTTAGATAGAAAAATAATAATAAAATTTATAAAGCCACATGAATCTTGATTAGTGTTTTACAGATAAAGCACTGTCATGACTTAGGTTCATAAAGTGCTATAAAGTAGAGAAAATATTAATGTATATCGACTTTGAATTTCTATACCTCTGAATAAAATAGTTACTTACTTTTTTCTCTTATTTGACTCCACAAAATATTTACGTGCTCGATTTCGACATATTTTTTGTTGCTGCAGTAATATTTGGCGCTCTTCTTCTAAATTCTTCTCTAGGTGGATTTTCATATCTCTAATGATATGATAAGTTAAGAACAATGGTTTACATCTTTAGTGGATGAGTGTTAGTGCTATCTGATAAATATAATTACAACCTCATGCAAATGATGTAATGATATTTTTATGGAACAATTAGTATGTGTACACATTTTTGGTGTACTACCAACAGATGTTTTATGTAAAAATATTCTGACTTGGTATTAGGACCTAAGATATATCTCACTTTCCCTGGAGGGAGCGGGGAGGAAAGCATTTACTTTAGAAATCATGAGCTCAGATAAGGAGACTGCATATTGCCATTCATTACACAGATATCTGAGTTGCCTTCTTAGGCATGTGTATAAGAAAATGAAATAAGAAGGTTATATTTCACTAATAGAAAGTGGATGAAGTAAACATTTCAATAGATCCTTTATAGTGTGAAAGTCGCATTCAGATATTTAAAAAATAAAATACCAATATAATTGGAATATACATGAATATAGCTTATTAGTGATTTACTTGTTGGTTGGAAAAAAAAAAAAAACTAGGAAAATCATGCATAGTCAGTCACCTATTTATCCAGAAGTTTGCCAGAAAAGAAAAAGAATATTTTGTTTAACCTAATCATCATCTATTCATTTGACATTTACTATATAAAATGAAACTTTCCATAAACAGTTTTGTATTAATATTATTAATTGATTTTCCCAATTTATATGTTTTAACTATTGTTATTGAATATCTTTATCAAATTTGTATATTTTTAGTAATTTTGAATTTTTAAAAAATGTTAATTCAATCACCATTTTACATTAGATGTAGATTCATATGAGATTCCACTAAAGTTACGGATTATATGGTATAACTACTTGTCTTTTTTAGAATAACTTCTTAAAAAACTTTTTTCCCAAAAATAGATTCAAAATTCTCTTTGAGATGCATTTAGTCAAAATTTTTTATATGTCATAAATTAATAGTGGTAAAACAGAATACAAGAAATACATTCAACAATATATTATGCTTTACATAATTTGTTAATTCAAAATGTGTTAATTTCGGGATCCTATTGTGTTTCAGCATCAATATTATAAAGAAACTCTATTATTATGTATTTCAAAATAATCATGTTTATTTGAATTTTTTGGTTGTTTAAATCTTTGCTAATGGAAGCTTATTTGTTTTCAATTATGTTGCTATTTAACCACTTTTATACCACAGGCCATAATTCATTTTACTTTCAGTTTTTGTAAAATTTTGGACTACTTCAACACAAAGATCCTAATACATGATATTTTTACTTAAAGTTTTCTTTTGAAGAATTTATAAAAATGAAGCAAAAAGAAAAGATTTATCTTGTAGTTCTCTGATAGAGTACTTTAGTAGGATCCAGATTTGAACAAGATGTCTAGTTACTACTAAAAGTCATAATTCAGGAGTAAAGGAAAGCACAACTTCCTTTCAGGGTATGCATGGGCAACATGGGGGTGGGGAGGGAAGTTACTTTGACTCTTGTGATTAGCATGGACGATGCTGCAGGTGGAGAAAATTCTGTTCTTTGTTCAACATGTTTGAGATCTCATCACAAGAGCATAAAGAAAATCACAAATGTTTGTAATGTTCTGATGACTATAGTCTTAAATTTAATCAAATTACTCCCTGTTATATATGTATAAAATAGTATTGTATAAATTTTGCCTGCTGAATTATAAAAAATGCTGCGGCCTTTGCATCTTTTCAAATATGCTGTTCAAGTTTAAAAAATATTAGATGGCTGGTTAAATTTCTGGTTCTTACATGAGCTGTATTGTAAAGATAAGATATTTCCCTAAGAATCACTGATAAATACTTGTCCAAAAGAAGGTAATTTTTATATACTTAACATTAACAAACCAAACTAAACCAAGTAGGATTGGGTAAATAACAAATGATTATAATTTAAAAGCACAGTCTATTCTGCCTTACTTTCTCCTCACCTCTTTCTCTCCTCACTTAGTCTTCTCCAATTAGGTTGTTTAAAATATGTTATTAATACCACCACAAATAATTATGCATTATACAATCCATTTTCTCCCCAAACCCATTAAAGCTATCTTGATTCTATTTCTCCTCCGCGATACTACCTTGCACTGTCTTGGCTCAGGCACTTTAAATCCACTTGTCTGGACTACCTTAGCACTCTTCTAATTCAGCTCCTCACTGCTAAACTGGCCACCCCCTATTTGAACCTCCACAAAGCCAGCTAAATGGAAATTTGATTGTGTTTCTCATCCCCTGCCCCCACTCCCCACCCCAAGGGTCTCACTCTGTCACCCAGGCTGAAGTACAATCATTGCTCAATGCCACTTGGCCTCAAGCGATCCTCCCACCTCAGTCTTCTTAGTAGCAGGGATTATAGGCACTAGCCATCATGTCCAGGTAATTTTTAAAACATTTTTTTTTTTGTAGAGAAAGGATCTCCCTATGTTGCCCAGGCTGGTCTTGAACTCCTGGCCTCAAGTGATCCTCCCACTTGGCCTTCCAAAGCATGGGATTATAGGCATGAGCCACTGCATGCAGCCTGTTTCTTATTTTTTATTGTTCTCTAAAAGCTTCCTATCACCTTCATGATAAAATTCCAAATTTCTTGGACTTGTATATAAAACATTTTATAATCTGGTTTGTTTTTTCAACTTTATTTCTCATATTTCTCTATATGAATCCTATGCCCAGCCATACTAATTATTAACACAACAAGCCATGATGTATCATACCACTATATCCTGGCAAGTGCTTGGCTAACTACTCATCCTTTCAGGACAACCTCAAGCACTTCTTCCCTGTGAAGCCTTTTCTAACCTCCATCAGATGACTTGATAACACTTTGTGAGCATGTCATGTGTCTCCTCTACATTTCTATAACTCTGATGCCTGGCATGGTTCTTAGAATACAGTAATGGCTTAATTAAAGCCTGCTGCATGATTCCCTTGAAGAAAATTCTGAGGTAGATATAACAGTACAAAAAGCATATGCATTTTACATCTCTTAATGCATTATGGAAATAAATGTTTCTAAAGGGGTTATACAAGTTTATATACCATTAGAAATATAAAACCTCATAAGCACAGGGTAGTACTTTCTTTTAGAAAGACAAGGTGGAAAACTATTTTTTATTATTTATGTGTTAGCAAAATAGAATACTTTCTATGTTGATTACTAATTTTTTTCTCCTTGGAGAATGCTTAGTTCAGAGTCACTAGCCATTTATCCATTGAGGACTTGATTTAAAAAAACATCAATTTCAGTAAGTTCATACAGGTATAACAATATAGATATTAAGCCTCTATCACAGTTTATGTGAGCATTTTCCCCAGATATTTCAAGTTTTATTTAATTACACAATTTCTCCTTACACTAATGGTTTAAATTGTTATCTTTCAAATATTTTTTCCTTTGAAATTTCTTCTTTCCCTTAAATAGGTAAAGTTACTATAGTTTTAAACACACAAAAAATGTGAAATTCCATTTTGTCAGTTTTTACAATTTTATATTTATTTTATATTTACCCTTTTTATGAGCTCAATTTTTTTTTGGAATGTAGTATAAGGTGTGACTCAAGGCAGAGACAGTGAATATGGACCACTCTTTCAGAGGTCAGAATAAGGAGATAGTAGATATTAGAATATAGCTAAAAGGGTTCTTGTAATCAAAGAAATTGAAAGTAAATTATAAGAAAGGTGGGATGATTTATAATCCAGGGTTACTAAGAAGAGAGGTGATGGAAATAAGGGCACGAGTGAATGGATTCACTTCCTACAGTAAAAGTAATATTCCATCACCGAGCTGGCGAAAAAAGGCAGGTGGGTGGAAGTATGTGGGTTTAAGTTGCTTGTTGGGAGGGACTTGGGGGGATTTCATGGCATTCATGTCTTAGGAAGTGGTAAAATCGTTTAATGAGTGTGGTGGGAGGTGGTAGAGATCGGCAGAGGCAAAGAGGAACAAAAAAGAATTTGGTTGCTGTTTAGGTGAAGCTGGAAACCATCAATCCAATCTTTAGTGGTGCAGTCTGTATTGTTTTGTGATTTATCTCTGACAGCATTTTTATTATTTGCATAAAGGAATAGAGAAGCAGGACTGCAGTAGTTACTGAGCAGTTGAAACAGAAGTTATTGAGCAGTTGAAGCAGATGGATTTTATTAAAGTCTATTGGTCATCTATTAAGGTGATAATTTATAATTTGCCTAATTTTAACTATATATTTGGTGTTTAAGTATATTTTTAGTAATGTATTTCTTTATAGGAGGCCATCATTATAACTTTGGAATAGAGTCTACTTGGTGTGTTCATTCCATGTATTGCTCAATTCTATTTACAAATATTTTCTTTGCCATTTGTATCAAACTTCATACCATATAAATTACAAAAAATAAAGTCTATGACTATTTCATTAATGAAAATGATGGAAAGATATACTTAGTCAGTGAGGCATTTACAATGCTTCCCTATTTTCAGATTTGGAGATAAATTAGGGTCAGTGGAACAGGAATTCAGTGTCTAAGAACATATAATATCAAGGGGGCAGAATTAAATTCAAGCAGAAAATGACCCTCTTCATTTCAGAGTACATCTTTTGGGGGACTGTTTTGGGGAGCAAGGGCAAAAGCCAAATTGAACAGGATTAATAATGAATATATGAAAGAACTAGAAGCTACTATTGCAGGCTACTATTTTGATAACTTGGCCAAAGAAAATAAAGACAGACAGAAGAAGGGATAGAAGCCTGAGGAAAGCATGATCTGAGGAGGGATATTTTAACATTAGTGAAGCTCTGTACATACCTGTCTTCCTTACTAGATTTGTATCCCTAGAACCTAGAACAGTGTCTTCCAAAGAGCAGACACTCAATACAAATTGTTTATTGACTTGCTGTAAAAATTGTAACCGAGTATAAACAATATCCCAGAAGTTGGAGACAATGGGGATAAGAAAATGGGGGTTAACTTGGAAAGAGAAGACACCCCATTCTCTGACAGAAATGAAGATGATGATTACATAGCACCATCACTACCACCCGAGTCCTTTGAGAATACTAAGGTTAAATTCCAATTATCATAACATTTTCTAAAGAAATAAACACGGTTTACATATTTTGATAACAAAACTCTTTCAGTCTTTCAATTTTCTAAAATGCAACCAACAGCAACATGAAAGGAGGGCACGACCAATTCTTAGGGAAAAATCAGAGCTAATCCAGATTGTGAAGCGTCCAGGTCCCTTGCTTCTCATTTCCTCTCTGCTGTCTCTCTGACAACAGACTAGGACGAGATGGAAAACAAAACAAATTACCAAAGTGTGCTAGACTTTAGTAGCTCTGGTAAATGGATTTAGGGCTATGCTAGGATAACTGTTAAGACGGACTCGTCAGCAAAACATTTTACTTATTTGTGCAATTTCTTTCTCCAAGTAGCATGATTAGCCAGGAAGTGGTTAATACGTAAGCAAAGAACATAAAGGCATAATTCCAGAAGGCAGAAAAAAAAAATCCCCATAGAATACACAGTTGATGTATTTTACAATTCACAAAAATTTTACAAGGAAGTCCAAGAATGAGAGTGGGATAACAAGGTGGTGGGGGAAGCGGCTATGGAATCAGGAGAAAAATGATATAATTTCAGGTCTAAGGAGAGCAACATTTGTTAAAGCAAATATTCGCACTAAGATGACTTGCTAATTTCGATCACCTTGCGTCAGTGGTAATGGGAAACCTAACGGGAACAAAGATGGGCCCCGCTTCTAACTCCGCTACCTGGGCAGCCACAGACTGGGAAGGATACAGGTAAGCGCCAGGTCGGTGACGCCCGCCGCTCTCCCGAGGGCTGAGGGGGGCTCTGTCGAGGGTGTCCGAGGATTCAGTGCCCAGTGCGGTGACCGCGCTCCGGGCTCCGGGCCTCTCCGCCAGCATCCTTCACCTCAGCGCCGCCTCCCCGCTCGCCCCTAGCGCCTCCCTCATGGCAGCTCTGGCTTCCTCCTCCTGTTCGTCGTCCTCCTCGGCCCCTCCCTACACTCCGTCTCCCGGGCCTCGCGTCACCGGCACAGAAGGGTTGGCCGCGGCAGCCCTGGCTCCCGCGCTGTGGCGCTGGTGGCTGTAGTGGTGATGGCAGCTGCGGCAGCGGCGACCTTGCCTGGCAATAGCAAAGGTGTCAGCAGATACCCCGCCACCGCCATCTTGACAACCAACCGACGCCGCGTCCTTGGCGACGGAAACTCGAGGGAGGGGCGGGGCCGGGAGGGGCGGGGCCGGGCCAGAGGCAGCCAATAGGAGGCACCCGCGGCCCCGCCCTCTGGGAGCTGTCCTGCCCCCGGCCGGTAGAGACCCCGGCCTCCCAAGGGACCCAGGTCCCAAGGGACCTACGTCCTTGATGGAGTGAGCAAAATTATGCGTTATAATTTGATTCACTCCTATCTCCCTTTTTAGGAGGGTGTTTTCCTGGGGGTACTGAGACTGACTAAAGATAGTGAGATGCAAAGTCCCCAGACACAGGCAAATGCCAGCGGGCAGATTCTGAAACGATTGGGGGTTAATTTGGAGTTGGATTTGCTGTTTAACCACCGAATCGCGTTGTGGGGTTTGGGCATTACTGTCTCCGAACACCGTCATTTAAAAAAAGTTTTGTGAAGTGGAAAATTTCCTTTTCTGCTTTCTCGCACCCCCTCGATGATGGTTCTGCCATTCACTCTGCAGTCGACTTCCTCGCCTTTGCTCTACTTATAAGGTCAACATTTCAAAGGCTTCTAATGGTATTTGCTTTGCTGCCAGATTCTGGAAATGGACAGCACAGCAAACCTACTAATCTCCCGGAAGATATGCCAAAAGAGATCATTGTGTTGAAATTGTTTCAGGAAATATGGAAAATTAAATGGATTTTTGAGCCACTGGTTTAATGGCTATGCAAGTGAAAATTTGGAAAAAGTCTGCAATTTTTTGTTGGAGCCCAGTATAAAAGCACATAAAAATTCTGACTGTATCTCAGCCAGTTTTTTTCATGGAAAAACTCCCAGCCTGGAGGCAGAATGTACAGACCAAATAAAGATTATTCACCCACCACTAAATGTCTCTGTCTTTGTGAATCAATTTATTCATTTTTTTTAGAGTTCAAATAATAAACTTTTCCTGTTGAAACTATTTAAAATAATATTCGCAAACTTGGATGCAATGGCTCAAATTGGAAAGTGCTCTGGGGGCTGATTTTTTATTTTTATTTTTTAATTTTCAAAATATTAAGGGGATACAAATGTTTTTGTTACATAGAAATCAGGGCTGTTGATTTCCCATCTGTTGATGGTGTGTCCATCATCAAAATAGTGTTCATGTACCCAGTAGGTAAGTTTGTATCTCACACTTACCCTCCTGCCCTTCTCCTTTCTTGGTTTATATCTCTTTGTGGCCATATTTACCCATAGTTTATGTCCCACCTATGGGTGAGAACATATGGTGTTTGGTTTTCCATTCCTGAGATACTTGGGATAATGGTCTCCAGTTTCATCCACGTTGCTGCAAACGGTATTATTTCAGTCATTTTAATGGCTGGGTATGGTATATATACACTACATTTTTTTACCCACTCATAAATTGATGGGCACTTAGGTTAGTTCTGCATCTTTGCAATTGTGAAGTGTACTGTGTTAAACATTCAAGTGCAGATGTCTTTTTGATAAAATGACTTTCTTTCCTTTGGGTAGATACCAAGCAGTAGGATTGCTGGATTGAATGGTAGGTCTACATTTATTTCTTTCAGTAATCTCCATACTATTTTCCATATAGGTTGTACTAATTTGCAGTCCCCCCAACAGGATACAAGCGATCCTTTCTCTCTGCATCCACGCCAGCATCTGTTGTTTTCAGACTTTTTAATAATAGCCGTTCTGATAGGGGTAAAGTGGTCTCTCGTTGTAGTTTTAATTTGCATTTTCCTGATGATTGGTGATATTGAGCATTTTTTCATATGTTTTAGACCATTTGTCTATCTTCTGATTCTTCTGTTCATGTCTTTTGCCCACTTTTTAATGAGATTGTTTGTTTTTTCTCTTGCTGATTTGTTTGAGTTCTTTGTGGATTCTGGTTATTAGTCCATTGTCAGATATATAGTTTGTGAATATTTTCTCCCATTCTGTATGTTGTATATTTGCTGTGTTGATTATTTCCTTTGCTGTGCAGATGCCTTTTAATTTAATCAAGTTCCATTTATTTATTTTTGTTGTTGCTGTATTTGCCTGTAGGGTCTTAGTCATAAATTTTTTGCCTAGGCCAATGTCTAAAAGAGTTTTTCTTACGTTTTCTTCTAGAATTATTATGGTTTTGTGCCTTACATTGAAACCTTTTATCCATTTTGAATTAATTTTTGTATGTGGCAAGAGATAGGGGTCCTGTTTCATTCTTCTGCATGTGGCTATCCAATTTCCCCAGCACCATTTATTTAATAGGGCATCCTTTCCCTAGTGTATGTTGCTGTCTGCTTTGTCAAAGATCAGTTGGTTATAGGTAGATGGTTTAATTTCTGGGTTCTCTATTCTGTTCCATTGGTCTCTGGCTCTACTTTTATATCAGTACCATGCTGTTTTGGGTATGAAAGCCTTGTAGCGTAATTTGAAGTCAGGTAATATGATGCCTTCAGATTTGTTCTTTTTGCTTGGGATTGCTTTGGCTATTCAGGGTCTGTTTGGTTCCAAAGAAAGCTTAGGGTTATTTTTCTTTAGGTCTGTAAAATAAGATGTTGGTATTTTTGATGGAATTGGATTGAATATGTAAATCACTTTAGGCAGTATGGAAATTTTTACGATGTTGATTCTGCCAATCCATGCACAGAGGATGTTTTCTATTTATGTTATCTGCAATTTCTTTCATCAGTGTTTTATAGTTCTCCTTGTAGAGATCTTTCACCTCCTTGGTTAAGTATATTCCTAGGTATTTTATTTTCTTTGTAGCTATTGTGAAGGATATTGAGTCTTTGATTTGATTCTCAGCTTGACTGTTATTGGTGTAGAGAAATGCTGCTGATTTGTGTACAGTAATTTGTCTTTTTTATTACTATTTTTAATTTTAAGTTTATTTTATCTGACATGAGAATAGCTACACCTGCTTGCTTTGGGTTTCCATTTGCATGGAATATTTTGTTCTATCTCTTCACCTTGAATCTTTATGAGTTCTTGTGGTTTAGATGTGTTTCTTGGAGACAGCAAATATTTGTGTGTTTTCATCCATTCAGCCAGTCTGTGTCTTTTAAGTGGGGCATTCAACTGTTCATGTTGGGTGTTAGTATTGATATGTGGGATGCTGTTCTGTTCATCATGTTTGATGATACCTTATTGTTTTGTTTTTTGTCTTGTACTATTGGTTTATAAGATCTGTGAGATAAAACATTCAAATATTTTTACTCTGGTGAGTATCTATTGTGCTGTTGTATACATAATGTACTTTTGAGCATTTCTTACAGGGAAGGCTAGTAGTGACTAATTCTCTTAGTGTTTGCTTGTCTGGAAAAATCTTCAGTTCTCCTTCATTCATGAAACTTAGTTTTGCAGGATAAAAACTTCTGGGCCAGCAGTTGTTGTGTTTAAGAAGCTTAAAAATGGAGCCCCAATTCCTTCTGGATTGTCTCTGCTGAGAAGTCTGCTGTTCATCTGATGAGTTTTCCTTTGTAAATTAGTTGTTGTTTTCATCTTGCAGCTTGTAGAATTTTCTCCCTCATTTTTATTGTGGCCAGGTTGATGAGTAAGTGTCTTGAGGATGTCCTATTTGCTATGAATCTTCCCAGTGTTTGGTTATCTTCTTGTATCTGGATATCTGAATCTCTGGTAATCCCAGGGAAGTTCTGCTCAATAATTCCCTCAAATAGGTTTTCCATGCTTTTTGTTTTTTCTTCTTCTCCCTAAGGGAGACCTATAATTCATATATTGGCTCATTTCACATAGTCCCATATTTCTCTGAGTTACTGTTAATTCTTCTTCATTCTTTTTCCTGCATCCTTGACTGACTGACTGAGTTCGAATGCCTTGTCTTCAAGCACTGGGATTCTTTCTTCTGCTAGATATAGCCTGTTGTTGAAACTTTCTGCTGTATTTTGTAATTTCCTAAATGACCCTTTCATTTCTTTAAGTTCTGTTATATCCTTTTTTATATTGTGTACCTCTTTAGTGAGTTTTTGATGTTTTTCATTCATGTCCTGAAATACTTTTTTGATTTCTTTGTTTTGGTTTGCAACTTTCTCTTCAATTCCATTCATTATATTTGCCATCCATATTCTAAATTCTATTTCTGACGTTTTGGCAATTTCCTTTTGGTTGGGGCCAGTTGCTATGGATCTATTGTAATCCTTTGGGGATGTCCAACTAGCTAGATGTCCAACATTTTCATGTCACTAGAATTCTTTTGCTGGTTTCTTCTCATGTGAACACTCTTCTCTCAGCTCAGGGCTGATAGTTTTGCAGTGCACCTATTCTCCCTTGCTGGCAACATAATAAGAAGGAGAAATCCCTAATTAATGCTTTGCTGTCCTACTCTGGAGGATTGATCCAGCAGGAGGAGGGGGCAGATCTACTGAGAGCCTGTAACGCAGCTGTTCTCCTGCATCACCCTGTTTCCATGTGGTTGTCACAGTCCATGTCAGTCCTGGGGGATACTCATTTGGATTGGTGTGTTGGTTCCCAGGCTGCTGTTGAAAGCTTGAAAAGGGGGCTGGCAATTCTCTCTCCATGAGGGTGGGTGGTGTTACTTTGGGTGGCACTTGTCAAGTTGTGGGACCCTGGTGGGTCTCGGTCAGGTGTGGGACCCTGGTGGATGTGTCACAGGAATGTAGCCCATGGATAGGTGGGTCATGAGAACTTGGCAGGCCCCTGTGCAGGTCACAGGACCTTGGCAGTTGCCTGGGTGTATTATGGGGCCTTGACAGGTGCCTGGGTGGGTATGGGACATTGGCCAGCACCTGGGTGGGCTGTGGGATCTTGGAGGGCACTTGGGCATGTTGCAGTACTGCAGCCAATGACAGGGCAGGTCATGAGACCTTCCCAGGTGCCTGGGTGTGTTCCAAGACTGCAGGCAGTGGTGGGTCGCAGGAACTTGGTTGGTGCCTGTGAGTCATGAGACCTTGGTGAGTGCCTGGACAGATCAGGGGTTTTGGTCAGTACCTGGGTGGGTTGTGGGACTGCAGCCAGCAATGGCATGGCTCCTTCGGCTGCAGTGGCTGGCCCACCAGTGGCTGGTGAGGCTGGGGAGATGCATGGTGCCCCACTGCAGGGCCACAGTGGCTGGAGCTCTCCCTCCACCAAGTCCAACTATGGAAGCTGCTGCAGAGCTACTCAGGTGACATTGGCAGTACTGTGGAGATGGCCAGATGGCAGTGGCAGATGCTGGAGCCTGGTGAGCACTTGTTTTGCCTGGATCCCTGGGTGGCAGCTGGTTGGGGGGGTGTTGGGGAGATCCATGGCACTCAGTCACAATGCACCTGAGAGAGCTGGCACTCCCCGGTCCCTCCCTGTCCTGGAAGAGATAATGGGGAGGTGGCTGCTGTGGAGCCAACCCCTCTGCAGACTGGGTGCTCTGGGGCTGAGGGTGCAGATTGGCATCTATTGTAGTAACCTGGAACCAGAAGCTAGTGGGACCCCACTGTGCCCACTCTTTGATAGGTACAATGCTGCTGCTCTGAGTAGCTCCCTGATCAGTTGGGAGGCATGCTGTGGCAGGGTAGCCCCCCTGCAGCTCAGATTTCAGTGTCTACTGGGGGAGTGTGGAGTCCTGGGAATCTCCCCTAACCTTTCCCCACATGTGGACGCCTCCTCCAGGTACCTTACAGTGTTGCTGAGTGTATCACCCTGCCCCTCTCTCCTCTGCTTTGGGTGTCTCAGGGCTTCTATGATGATCCACAATGCTCTCTCTGAGATGGTCCCTCTGTAGGTGAACATCTACCCGCAACCTTTGACCCTCTCCTTGAGAGTGGCGAGTGCAGCCTGCTTCTAGTCCGCCTTCCTGGTTGCCCCCCTTGGGAGATTTCTGTTCCCAGCTTCCATGGTGTCCTGGCATCTTTCCTATCGATCTTTCAATACCTGAAGGTCACTGGATGACAGAGGCTGCCCTAGTCACCTGGGCATCCTGGAGCCGAGAAGGAACAGTAAAGAGGTGTCCAAGTTGGGCAGACACAGGAGTGTGTGAGACAAAGGCTCTGTGGATTTGGGACTGAGATTTTAAAGTGCCACACAAATCCAGTTTTGATTTAAAACCTAAAACACATAATAAAGTCTTCTTCGGGATCATGCCAAGAGAATAAAATATATAATCCTGACAAAGAAAGGCTAAATATATACGATTGGACAATTTGCTATCTTGGCAAGTTTTTAACTGGGCTAGCCACAGCCATTGGCCTTGACTCTATTCCCACTGCTATCATCACATGTCTGTCTCTCCAGGGCTGATCCAAGCAAAGTAGGGCAATACAAAGTGCAAATAAAAGTGAGAAGATTGTGGCTGCTGTTTGGACTACTTAGGCATGTTTAGCCTTCCGGAAACTCTAGCTTTAGTTTGATATCTTGTAACTCCTGGGCACCTCACTGCTTTGTGTCATGGTATATTAGCATTAAGAAGCATAATTTTGTTTCTCAGTTGCCTACAAATGCCTACTTTTATAATCATTCTTTATGCAAAATGTTGTTATACAAAGACGGCCAAGAAGAAAAGAAATTTTAAACATAAATTTGCCAGATTTTTTTATCACAGGATTTTTTTGACCTTTAAATTCTTTCTTTCTTTCTTTCTTCAAAATATTAAGCAGATTTTCCACATTCTATGTAAGTTGTGTAGTCCTACATTCTAAAAGAAGGCTTTAAGATTAAACATTTGGATAATAGATAATTTGAGAATTTAATAAATGTTATCTCTTGTCAGTAAAAGCAAATATGATTTAAGCAATAAAGAAGAATATTACATTAAAATATCTATATTTTATTAGGAAATATCTGAATTAAGTGTTTTTCCTTTCATACTTTAAAACCATAAAATAATTAATTCTTTTGTTAAGAAAATACATATTGAACATCTACTACATGCCAAGCACTTTCTAGGTGAATGAAACTTCAAAGTCACTATGCTCATGAAGTTTATATTTGTTTTTCTTCCTCACTAGAATATAATCGGTAGTGAAAAGTGTTACAGGGAAAAGTAGAATAGTGTGTTGAGACTGATGTCAGTTCTATTTGAGATAGGGTGCTCAGGAAAAGCCTCTGAGGAAGGGAAACTAGGGTAGAGATCTGAATGAAGGAAAGAAATTGCTATTCAAATATCTGGATGAAGAATATTTTAGGCAAAGGGAATTATCAATACAAAAGGCTCTAAAAGCAGAATCATATTGTGGTGTTGAAAGCATAGCAATAAGTCCACTATGGCTAGAATAGAATCAGGTAGGGGAAATGGAGAAGTACATGTCCCAGATTCAATGGGGCTCATACTGTATTCAAGGACTTAATGTAAAATCCAACTTTCTTTGGAAGGAAAGCCATTGGAGAGTTTTGAGTAGGAGAGTAGCATGATCTAAGGGATCCTCTAGCTGCTGCAGGGGAAACTAGATTAAAGGGGATAAGACTAGAAACAATGAGGATAGTGAGAAGACTATCATAGCAGATTGGGTGAGAGATGACAAAGGCTTGTACTAGGATGGTAGCAATGGAGGTGGCAAGAAGTGTTTAAAACTTGAGCTTTGAGCCAATAAGATGTGTTGATGGATGGTTGTGGTAAGTGAGGGAAAAAAAGAGTCAAAATATGACTTTCAAATTTGGAGCTGGAGCAACTAGATAAAGGGTGCTGTCATTTATTAATATGGGGAGGAATAGGTAAGGAGTGGATGAAGTAATAAGAGTTAGGCTTTAAACATGTTAAATGCAAGATGCCTGTTAGACACCCAACTTCATTAACATGGTCTCATAAATTGGTAGTGATGTTTTATTTACAAAGGAAACTAATAACAGTTACTTTATGGTTACAAAGCATGTTCCACATAACTTATTTAATTTGGATACTATGTTAAAAAATACTTCAGACAAATTGAACAGGTTATTGAGCAAAGAAGGATTCATGAATTGGATATCATTCAGAACTAGAAGGGGTTCAGAGAGCTCCACCCAGCAGTGTGAGCAGCAAACTTTTATAAGCCTAACACAGAAACAAAGTAGAGGAATCATCTAATTGGCTATAGCTGGGCATTTGCTTTATCCGGGCATGGTCTGATCTGTTGTTGGCTGCCTGTGATTGGCTGAAATCTAGTTATTTGTTAAAAAACATATACTCCTAAATTAGACTGTTTGCTACAAAGGAACTCAAACTACCGAGACAGCCTTAGGCAATGGCTTCCTGCTTATTTAATTCAACATAACCTTGCAATCATATAGCAGCCTATGATGGACAATTTTTGTGCTTTTACTTTTATCTTGGCTGAGGCTATTTTTTCCATCTTCTGCCAGAGTATTTTCTTGCTCAAATAAGAATTTCCTGAGTTTGTCTCTGGGCAAGCTGTGAAAGAACAAAGAATTTTAACATCTGGCTGGTTTAAATTTGCTAAAGTTCTGCCATCTTCATTTCAATTTCATAAGATTCAATTAGAAATTTAAGATTAAAGATATATAGTCATTTACTCCTAATATAAATTATACACATCATCAATATTGTCAGCAGTGTTTAATTGCATATAGATCAAGTGAAATGTTATTAATAATAATGATGATGATACCACCTAGCATTTGAATGCTTATTGTTTCCTTACATACTGTGCTAAGTGTTTACATAGAATGTATTAGATTATTTTAATCTATAAAACAATTTCTGTTCTACAAAGAAGGTAATTGAGCTGTAGCAATATTAGGTAACTTTGCCCAAGTTTCCAGAGTAAGGGAGTGGTGAAATAAATCTTCAAACCAGGTGGACTGGTCTCAGAACCAGCACTCCCAGCCACCTCACTGCTTCACTGGAGAAACTCTGAGAAAGTTGTTTTGGTAAATAAGAGAGAAGAGTGTTTGGGTTAAATGGTAGGTGGTAAGGAAGTAAAGTTAGAGAATAGACAATTAACTTAAGATAGTTCTTCATTAAGTAAATATTTGAGTGCCTATTGTGTTTCAGTTATTATACTACTGCTGTAAAAGCTATAGTGTGGTCCTTGCCCTGCAGTTCTCAGGCTAGGAAAGAGGTGGAGAAAATAATACATCGAATAAAAAGCAAGACTCAGTAAAGTTTATTTTGTCTGTTAATTTCAGGATCATAAAGACTTAGGCATGAATGAAGAGAAGGAGCCATTGTTAAGGGGAAATTTGCCAGACTCATTACAGACATTGATCTGTTAACCTTCGGAGAGCTGTCATTTTCAGTAACATCATTTCCCTTATGTTCAGAATTTTTGCAGTTTTAACAATATAATTGTAAAACATACAGATTAATTAGAGTCCTAAAGATTTGGCATTTTAAAAGCATATTTTAAGTCTGAATTATTTGCTTTGAATGTCCGCATTGACCAAATTTCTATTTAGCATTTTATGGAAATAATTCCAATGTAATATTCTTCCTACTCCATTAGTCATTTCTACTTCCTTACTGTTTTTGTGTAACTCAGTTCATAATTATTGAGGTATAGATTATCAGAGGTATTTTTTTCCAAGGGAAAAAATCTGACTCACAAAAACTAGATGAATTTATAAATTCATGCTTTATTTATCTACCTATATCATTTATTTATCTATTTATTTATTATCTATTTATCTATCTATTTATTTCCTATGTTGCAAAAGCCTGGATTCATAATGCAGGCTTTAAGTGATAAAAAGGATGTATATGATTTTAAAAAGACAGGATCTCTAGAGGCTACCTTGTTTTTTATATGAAGGGTGTTGTTTCAAACGAGGGCATGGAAACTAGTAAGTATTGGCTTCTGTTTTTGTTGTAAACCTTCCAGAAGTTTTTAACTGAAGACTCTATGCACCGTAGTTCTTTCCACAGAGAGCTGACTGATATTTGAAGAAGTGTTTTCATTTATCCAAGAAAAGTATGATGTCTCCACCCCAAGCCTTACTCTTGTTCTTAAATGTATATATTTTTATTTGTGGAGAAGCTATACAAAGTAACTGTGCGCATCATTCTACGGTAAGAATTTTAGCAATATTGTTTTAGCTAGGGAAGCATGATTAGCTTTTGAGATATATATTAGAAGTTTGAAGTGATTAATTATGCTACCAAATAAAATTAATGGAACAATTAAAATGTTTATTTAGAAAGATTGACATTGCTTAAATGTTACTATTTTTAAACTTAGGAAACTATAAACTGAGGACTGATGCTTAACAAATTTCTTATGAAAAAATTTTAAAGGAATTTCAGGCCTACGTTAAAAACTAGCCCACAATTTTCCAATTTACCTTTGATAATGAAATATCTGATTTGGTAGTAAAAAGAATTACTTTGCTTTAAATAAAAAGCTATTCTATAAACTTTGATATTTCAAATATAGTCCTGTGAGCGGTTACCTAGGAAATGAATAAATTTATCCATCTGGTTTTATTTATCCAACAAGTTTATTTGTGGAAATAACCAGTTCATTATTTTTTCTAATGATCAGCCTCATATGTCCTGAAATTTAACCTTTTCCTTACAATCTTCTTCTTCTTATATATTAGGCCATATTATGTATTTCATAGTATTTTTTTCTTATTCCTATTTTTTAACGTAAAGGACTCTCCAGCTGTTAACATTGTAGAAGATGAACCTAATGTGAAAAATGAAAGTAAAAGTAATGATACTGTTTATAAGGAAGACTGTGAGATATCATGTGATGTTAAAACCAAAATTACACGAGAAGAAAAACATTTCATGTGTAGTAAGTATTAAAAATAACCATAATTATAAAGGTATGCAATTTATTGTTTCTAGGGTAGACATGGAAGAAATATACTTCAGCTTTTGTTTGAGTTGTTTTACATACATCCTGGTCATCCTAGGTCAGAAGCTTTGTGTGTTTGGCATGTAATGGATGTTTAGTAAATATTCGATAAATGAATGTGTCGTTCTTCCATATAGCCCTGTGACATCAACTGACCACAGAGAGAAGGGGTAAACCAGAGGACACTGATAGTAGTATCGCATCAATTCAGCTAGGGCTATTTTCTTACTTTCATTTGGCCACTAGGTAATTTCACCTTCGTTTTTTTTTTTTTTTTTTTTTGGTGGGGCTGGGGGGTGGAGGGGATTCTAAAAACTAATATGTTAATATTGAATACTAGAATAAGTAATACAATAGGTATAAAACAAATTCACAGCCAATTGATACAGCTAAGCATAATAAATAAAAAGTTTTAAGCTCAATTGAAAAAAAAACACTAGTAACTGCAGTAACTTTCATTGTCTAATATATGTACGTGGGGAATGGGTGAAGAAGTTGGATCAGAAAGGGTGGAGTTGATGATCTGTTGCAGGTCTTACAGGACTGTTACTCCTAGGTCAGCAAGTATATTTAAAAAAAGCTCACTTTAATGTAATTAACTCTATGTGGAACACAAGTATTTCAGGCTTCTCAAACCAATGTAGTGCAGCTTTAGGCCCATTACGACAGATGTCTTACTCCAGGAAAAAGCAAATAGAAAGTGAGAGACTGAAAGTAAAAAGGAGAAATGAAGCTGGGTGAAGTAGAATTTAAAATATCAAGAATTATTAATGTGATTCTACCGCCATGGGAGAGAAACTTAGAAATAAAATTTTTAAAGACTAACATACGCAATAATACGTGGGTCCTTTTGTTGTAGGGAACGTCATCGCTATTATGGGTAAAACTTGTATAGGGTCTGAGAATATAGGTAGCCAATGTTTCCTGATTTTGGTGATCATGTTGTTGGGAATGTGTTTGGTATACGAAATACACACTGAAATAGTAGGGACGATGGGACATTATGGAAACATGGTCTCGAATGCCCCAGGAAAAAACGTTCTTTGTACTGTTCTTACAAATTTTCCATAAGAAATATTATATTAAAATACAACATTTTTATGAAGGAAAATGTATAGTAAAAGTTCAGTCAGAAACCAACTAACTAAAACCTTTGACTAAGATTTATTATGTGTATGTGTATGTATGTGTTAGTAACTTAATTATATAAAAATGTATAGTTAATAGAAAGGATTAAAACAAAGATTTATTTTTAAAATTAACTTACCTGATACGAAATTGTTACCTTTTACTTTATTATGTAGTAAGAATTGATGAATCCTATACCTCCTGTGTCTATACTTTTCACCTTTTAAAGTGAGAATTTCCACTCAGAATAATGTCTCTTAATTATAACAGATTATTTTGGGTAATCTATATTATTAAGAAGCATACTTTCATTAAAAAAGTATTGAAACAATTGTTTCTTGGTTAATCCTGAGTTAAAATACATACTATCTGTAGAATATATAATTCTGAGAATTAAGTTAAATTGAGATATTATTGTTTACATGTTTATACAAAATCATGTAACATTGATTATTTTTCACTGTAATTGTTTTTTTATAACAATATAATATTTAGCAGCCACTTTTTATTATGGTTAAGGAAATTTGCAAAATTCTATTGTTTCCTACACACGAAGTACCAAAAAACTACTAAGAAATATGATGGATGAACAACAAGCTTCCTTGGATTATTTATCTAATCAGGTATGGATTTTCGAGTATTGTATTGCTATTGCATGTGCATGTTGACCTGTAGTTAGCTGAAGGTATAACCTTTTTTCAATTAAATCACTTGATTTAAGTGATTTAAACGTCTTCTTAGTCATATTTAGTGCATATTTAGTTTGCCTGAGGGCAAACAAAAAGTAATAAAAACAATGGACCTTCACTCAAAGGGCATACAGTCTAGTGGAGAGGAAAAATGTAGAAAAAATGTAGAGGTTGTTGGAATGACACAAAAGAGAAACCTAAGGTCCAAGAAAGCTTCCCAGATGACAGGGCCTGTTAACCTAGTCATGAAAAATGAATAAATTCTTTAAAACTCACAAAGGTTGGGTAAAGAGGGGAGGGCATTCCATTTGGGGGGAACTTTTTGGAGCTGGTGCAAGGGTGGAATGGCTGATGAAGTTGCGAGTTTATAAGGAAAACTAATTAAAAGGATAGTCAGGTGCTAAATCATGGCTCACCAAGAAGACTGAAGTGTTTGTTTGAGTAAGGAAATGCCATGATCCAATTGACAGCTGGTGTGGAGGATGGCTTGAGGAAGAGCCACAGGGGGAGATAAGAAACTATAGCAATGGTTCAGGCAAAGTATGAAGATCAGCCTTGCAGCAGCTGCCAAATGCAGAAACAGGGGCAGATAAAATTAATGATAGGGAGGCAGACACTATTGAATTTAATGATTGCTCTTTAGCTATGCCTTTACTCTTTGTTAAAGCAGTCAGATTCAATCTAGCAAAATGGGCATCCTTATGCATTTCAGAGCCGGGTTTTTAAGAGGCTTAGAGAAAACAGTTATAGAATTTAGCTAAAGGAGGTTTGTTCAAATATAAAATTTACTTAAATGTGCATGTGTGTTATATGTGTGTTTAGGTTAATGAGCTCATGAATCGAGTTCTCCTTCTGACTTCAGAAGTTTTTAGAAAACAGCTGGATCCCTTTCCTCACAGACCAGTTCAGTCACATGGTGAGAACATTGGTATTTCAGCCTTTTCATATTAGTCTTTTATTGCTTAAAATTTTCCTGGACAGATTGGTGCATTTAAAAGTTTTGTAGAAAAAATACAGCTCACTATTCTCTAACAGACTGGAGGACTCATACCTGGCATTAAGCAAATTATACCACAGATAATGTGTACTTTCCTAAAATGGGAAACATTTTTGACCATTTAAAAGCCATGGCTATATAAAGATATCCTGAATCTGTTGAAAATAGCACAGTTTTATGCAGCTTTATTCTTTATATTTTATTAATAATTCATCTTCAGGTAGAAGAAAAGAAACTTTCATAGTTCCTCCCACCTATATAAATTTGTTTTTTTGACATGTTTGAAAGGTTTCAAATTGGGACATAAAGTTTGAAGAGAAAAAGAAATTTAAGACAAAAATAAAGTAAAAGTTAGCATTTTTTGTACTTTCTAAGGGACAGCATATTAATTCATAGAGGCCTGGGCTTCTAAGAAAAATGCCCTATACATCTTATAAATATGAATTCATACCAAAATGTTGCAAGCAAATAAAGGTTATTGAGGCCCTAGTATATGATATTTATGTTTTTCTTAGAAAGGCAAGAAAATAAACAGTGCCTGAAAATCTTCTATATACTAGGTAGGAAGACAGGCACGTGTTATTTTGTTGTTTTAAAATTATGTTATTGCATCTCATTTATTCCCTATAACTACCTCTATATAGGTAGTGTAACATGGTAGTTAATTAAGAGCACAGACTTTGATGTCAGACTGCCTGGCTTCAAATCTCTGATCTGCTGCTTCCTTGATGTCAGTTTCCTCATCAGTAAACTCATAGTACCTTCTTCATATAGTTGATGTGAGGATTAAATGGGCAAATACAAAGAAAAACTCTTAAAATACTGCTTGATGCATAGGAAGAGCAATATAAAGGATTGTTATGATAATGGTCATCATTAGATGAGGAATGTCCAGCTCAGAAAATTGAAAATCTGTTCACATTTATATGGATGGTAATGACAAAGCAGACACTTCAACCCAGATCAGTTCTTCACTGTGAACTTCTATCCTATCTGTGAGCATAAAGCCATTATAAAAATGTCTCTTAACAATTCAGAACCAATCTATGTCTTCTGGAAATTAAGGGGAAAGTAAATAATTTTTTACAGCTGACTTTTTGTAGATAATATTGTCTGCATATCTGTGTTGCTAGGCACTGTGCTAAAGGCTTTATGTGATAGCTTACCATGTAAATTGTCAGAATAACACTATGAAGTAGGTTGCATTATTATTATTCTGATAGTACATGAAGAAAATAAAGCTTTGAGGGGTTAAGCAACTTAGTTCATGGTTCTCAGGTAGTTAGGAGTAGAACTAGGATTCTAAGCTAGGCATTTGGATAATTGACACTAAGGGCTGGATTTATTTTGTTACATTTATAAAAGATGCTATAGAGTGGAGTATCTCCCAGAAAATGGAATATCCATATTCACATACATAAGTTTACAATCCAGAGGAGATGGATGCTTCTTAGAAGGTGATTATGGGGCGCTATAGTTCTAATTATTGTAAACAAAGTAAGCTATAGCCTCATGCATAATTTCTTCTTGGTAAAGAAAATTATTTCTCCTTTCCCTCTTTGGTTGTGGTAATAGCGGTCCCCAATACATCAGTCTCTGAAGTCTGGATTAGAGTAGACAAGGATGTGTTAATAGTAGTTAATCCATTTATTTCTTTCAGTTTTCTCCTCATTCATATAGATTTTCTTTACACATTATGGTGTCTACAATGAACCTAGATTCCCCAAAGGGCATTATTTATTGGGGAAGAGAATGCATAATTTAAAAATATATTAAATAAGTATTGATACCAAATGAAACTTTTAAACAGTTTAGAACACTAATCACTACCAGTGATCTATTATTAGTGAGGGTTTATTGCAGCATAAATTCTTTAATCTCTGTTCTTTCTTATATTTTCTACTTATTTCTAAAATTGTGACCATTTTTCATTTCTAAGAAGTTAAAATCATAATATTATTAATGGAAATCATGATAATTTCAGATAGTACTATCAATTCTCTACAGTAAAATGATTAAATCTTAAATATACACTTGAAAATATCCTAAATAACTAATTTTACTTTTCTAGGTTTAGATTGCACTGATATTAAAGATACCATTGGTTCTGTCACCAAAACACCAAGTGGTTTATATATAATCCACCCAGAAGGATCTAGTTACCCATTTGAGGTAAAGTTTTCTCTTATTATGTGAAATAAGATAAATATCCAACTGATTTAATCTATATTAAAATTTTGTTTTAATGTTTAAATTTTTCCTGAAAATTTTAAATAAATTAGGAAAATTTCCAGTTTCAAAATTTTCGTTTCTAGAATTCTAATGCCCAAATCATGAACCAATAAAAGAACTAGAGTCTATCTTTCACTTTTCTATTTGAGTTTCTATGGTTATACTCTTTAAAGTAAATAATTTATAGAATGTTAGAATGGATTTATTAAAAAAAGAAAAAGGTAAAGTAAGTCATTTGGTGCAAGATCTTATATTATTTTAATACTAGATAGAAGTATATAGTAGATAGAATTATGAAATATAAATACTTGCTTTAATTAGCTAATGAATATTAGAAAATATTGATGTGCTTTGCCTTGGAGTTTACTAAAAATAATTTTGATTTCCCTTTCTATATACAGGTATAACTTCTTTTGATGATAAATGATGTTATGTGATTATATGAGAAATTAATAATTTAGAAAAACCTTTCATTGGCATGCAAGACAGATTGAAAAGATGATGCATTCTTAAAATGGATGAAATCAATTACTTTTATGTCTATCTTTAGTTGTTTTATCCTAGGATATTTAGTAGAAATTTCTACTAGAGGTTATGCACAATGATGTGATATATGTGTGTGTGTATTTGTAATATATATTTTTCTGAATACTTCTTTGTACATAGAGAAGTTTATGATACTTTTATTATACCTTATTTATAGTATTTATTACACAACAAAATAACTTTTTTCTAAGTAGGTATTACCAGTTTCTCTTCTTAGAGTTACTACCATTATTTTTTTAAAATCTATTGACAAGGTGTCACAAAATTGGAAATTAGGTGGGAAATAATTTTAAAATTACTTAAATTATTTCACCTACAGATTCCAAACTGGATGTGGAAAAGGAAAGCTTCACATTTTGTGAAGAGTGGGTTGTATAATTACCTCTTTTGTGAGAAAGTGTTGGTTCCCTAACTTCCTCCTCCACACTGCCTTTCTCTGTCTCCATGTGGGAAGTTCCTGATGGAGAATTGCTCTGATTTCTTCCCTGTGTCACTTCTATGACTTCCCCTCCAGGAGTCCTCTTCTGGGCAGTTAACACCTATGAGCACCTGCTGAGTGGGTGTAGACTGTTCCTTTCTGTCTGAAAATGCCAGTTTGAACACAGGCCTTCCAGGCACGTGGGAGAAAAGAGCAATCAAAGACCATACCATGAACATATTTAACACTGTAAAAAATATCCAGCATTTTAATTCAAAGAAAAAGTTAATTTGTAAAGAACATTACTTGGCCACATCAGACCAATACTCTTATTACTAAACTGAAAAATATTTGTAGAATTGAGGAATAAGAGGATAACCTTAAAATGCAAATATTTATGTATTTTTAAAAATGATTGATTCAGGGACTGTAATTAGGTTAATTATAAGTTTGTTTTATAATAAACAGTATTATTTCTATAGATATGAAAATATTAATAAATTAATGGCATATACAATTGCACTGAAAACTCAGTGGAAGTATCTTCTCTTTCTCTAGGCTTAAGGATGAAGTATGAATTTTATAATATCAAATAAGAAAAATAATAGTGTATTATTTTGGTCTTTTCTGGACCTGTTTTAGGTAATGTGCGACATGGATTACAGAGGAGGCGGATGGACTGTGATACAGAAAAGGATTGATGGGATAATTGATTTCCAAAGGTTGTGGTGTGATTATCTGGATGGATTTGGCGACCTTCTAGGTCAAATATTATACATTTCTGCTCTAACTTTTTTCTTCTTTTTGGTATTATATCCATAGACTGTGTCTCTGTTGGTCAGATCTTTAGTAAAAATATTAAATAACAAATCCTTGTAAATATCAAAATATGACTTAAATAACCTCTTTTCATATGTCAAATTATTTTAAATAAGTAGGTCTTCACTTGATTATCTGGAAATCTTTAATTTTAGATATCTGTTAAAATGTGATTTAATAGAAAATTCTAAATTGGGTATTTAAAAAAAATTTTTTTTTGAGACAGAGTCTCACTCTGTTGTCTGAGCTAGAGTGCTGTGGCATTAGCCTAGCTCACAGCACCCTCCAATTCCTGGGCTCAAGCGATCCTTCTGCCTCAGCCTCCCAAATAGCTGGGACTACAGGCATATGCCATCATGCCCGGCTAATTTTGTCTATATATTTTTAGTTGGCCAATTAATTACTTTCTATTTTTAGTAGAGATGGGGTCTCGCTCTTGCTCAGGCTGATTTCGAACTCCTGACCTTGAGAGATCCTCCCACCTCGGCCTCCCAGAGTGCTAGGATTACAGGCGTGAGCCAATGTGCCTGGCCTAAATTGGGTATTTATTAAGTATTTACTATGCACCCACCAGAATTCTGGCAGGTACTCACACTATTTGTAGAATGAAAGACTGAATGGCAGTGTTTTCATAGATCTTACAGTTCTTGATATGTGTGCTGTGTATACATTAGCAAATGAAATGAAGAATCATGGTACATGTATGTGCAAATTCAAATTATTTGAACTGAGCATAGTGTTTTATAAAAACATCAATAAAGATCATTATGCTCCAAATTTGAAAATTATAACTCCAGGTGAATGGCAAAAATCTGTATTCATTATTGCCACATGCAACATCACTTCTGCTGGTAAAGAGAAACACCAGTATTTATGTACCCTGCAGTATTTTTATGTTAGCTAGAACTTCTGCAGGTGATTTTGGTAATTTTTATGTTACTTTAACAGTTACTGCTGTTATAATTTAAAATCTTTAACCTCCCATAATAATGTCATCCAAAGATTTAGTAAGTGGCAGCGTTAGTTCTGGAGGTAAAAATGCTGCCTCATGCCCATGATTTTAGGAGGCATTTGCCTTATAGCAAGATAAGTGCCATGCTGTGAAGTCCAGTTAATATACTTGTATTTTCTCAATATTACCTTTAATTTTCCACTGAGTACTTCCTCCTGAATTTAAGTAGTCATAGGTCAACATATGAGCTTTGACTTGTCATTTTCCATACTTTATGCTTATTTCTATGGGGAAACAATGTGAGTTTTGACATAATGTCTTCAGGCAGGTATCCTTCATGCAAACTGAGGATGCCTTGTACTGGTGTATTTTAAAAAACATACCTGGGATTAAGGAAAATGTATCGTTAAATCTTCAATTTGAGGTTGGGGTGGAGGGGAGAGATGGCAGGGACATTAAATTGAAGTGTTACAGACTGCATGAGACTAGCCAGACCCTAGGGACCCGTCTTACTGTGCCCATTTTCTTCTTGTGCCTCTTCAGGATACTTTTTAGTTCTATGTGGGTGTGAAACTAAAATGCCCCAGTGAGTCCTGGAGAAGAACTTAATATCCTAGCTATGGTTTGAAGAGTTTGAATGCTGTCACATTATTCCCCAAATTCCTTGAAGTTTGTTTTGACTAGACCCTTAATTCCTTCAGTAATTTTATAATTCAAATAGAGGGGTATCTTGCAGAGTGGATATACATTTAGGGAGCCATAGTAAGCAGGGGGAGGTAGAAAGCCATTGGTTAGAATGTGCATGCAAGAAGTATGTTGTCTGAATCAGGGAGTTTTATAATTCTTCTTGGATCTACAGTCATCTTGGAACTATTGACCTTAAACCTGGAGATACTCCAGTGTTGGTACATTATGTTTCCAGTCACAGGTAATTGACAAGCTGCATTATAACAAAGAAGCATTTGTTCAGATAGTGTTCTCCAAGACAGAAAAAGATAATTTCAACTGAGCATTTTCAGAAAATGTTTGTTTAGGAGATGTTGATTTGGAGGTTAAGCCTCCAACATTTATTGATACTTAACATTTTGTTACCTGCCATAATATTTTCACTGGTTTTATGGTGATATGCCTCAAGGTAAAACTTGACTTTTAATTTAGACTTTAAATGAACTTTTGAATTTAATTTGGGGAGTTAAAAATAAAACAGGGCCTGATTTTCTCCAGTCTAGTGAAGTAGAAATAGAAAGGTTGTTTTTTTTTTTCTGTAAATTAGTCAAACACTGATAATTTGAGCTAGGTCAACCAGTCCCTCCTCTCATTATTTATGTAAGCCATCTCAAAGTTATTGAATAACTGAATAAGACCAAACATTCAACAATAAAGGATTATTCTAATTTGTATTAAAGTATATTAAAATAAAGCATTTTTTTTTACAGGAGAATTTTGGCTAGGACTAAAAAAGATTTTTTACATAGTAAATCAGAAAAACACCAGTTTTATGCTGTATGTGGTTTTGAAATCTGAAGATGACACATTTGCTTATGCATCATATGATAATTTTTGGCTAGAAGATGAAACAAGATTTTTTAAAATGCACTTAGGACGGTATTCAGGAAATGCTGGTAAGTTTTTTATTTCTAAAATTATTCAGAAGATTGAAATATAACTGTGTTGATATTACATAAGGATAAAAATAATGTATTTCTCTTGATACATGACACATAACTAATAGCAGGCAAGATTAGGAATGGGAAAGCTGGCCAGATCTTGAGTTTAGAAACTCTGTTATGATTGTTATACCACCTCATGATTTTGAAATGCTCTAAAACAATTTGCCATCTATAATCCTAGTGGATTCTTTGGATAGAGAACCTGTGAGTAGGCTTGGAAGGTATGATTCCCATTTTCAATTGAGAGAGGCTGACATTTAGAAGTCCTAGAATGTTAGAGATGATCTCCATTCTTCTTACTTTACAGGTGAAAAAATCTGAAAGATTAAGAGACTTGCCCAAGATTTCCAAATTATCACACTTGAATCAGGGCAAGAATCCAAGTTGACAGAACAACTAGTTTAGTATTCTTTTCACTATACTTTGATGCATCTACTCATTTAGAAATAAATTTAATTTGTTAGAACTTCCAACTACTTGATATTAAATCTGTACTTTAATGCTTAAAATTTAGTCATTTGAGTTAAGAGATACTAAATTCAACCGCTCTGTTGTTGTTGTTCATGGTACTTGTTCAAAATGTGTATTTAGTGCTAGAAATAAAAAAATATATATATGTTCCCAGCTTTTTAACTGATCACAATATAGAGGAGAGGATAACTAACATATTGAAAACACATATTGATAGAGCTTTGGTGGTCAAAGAGAGAGTGAGAATGATTCTAATTAATTGAAACCAGAAAAGATTTTTCAACAAGGAGGTAATGTAAGATTCAACCTGGGAAGCTTTTTGAAAGTACATACTCCTGTAGAGTCTGATTCAGTAAGTCTGAGCCAGATGAATGTGTCAGCAGGCTTACAGTTGAGAACCACTGATCTGGGCTTGGAGGAATGGATAGGCATTTGGCATGTGAATGTTGGCAAACGGAGCAGCTTGACTCAAGGCATAGAAGGAGGAAAATTATAGGGTGCAGAGAGTTGTCTGGTATGGTTGGAATCTGTGACATCTGAGAGGATTAGTCTTGGGATATTAGGTGAAAATGTGAAATTCAAATTTTGATATATATGGAAAATTTTAAAGAGTTACAATATACAATTTTTAATGTTTCATTTCTAAAAGTATAAAGAACTATCAAGATATGGAACATTTTATTTTAGGAAAAGTTTATGTGGGGGTTCTCTGAGAGATGACAAGCATTTAATTGGAGGATAAAATTTATAGTGGCAAACCTTTTTTCATTGCAGAACTCTCAGATTTTGCTATGGTGTACCCTACATTTTTCCAACAAGGTTGTTAAGTAACTTTTAACTGTTGTTCACATAATATAATCAAAATAATAAAATAAAAAGCTGTCATCAGAATGCAAGGATAGAAACATAAATAAAACCAGAGGGTTAAGTGCGGTCGGGTGTGTGGCAGAGGTGGGCCACGAATTTTTTTTTTTTTTTTTTTTTGAGACAGAGTCTCACTCTGTTGTCCCTGCTAGAGTGCTGTGGCATCAGCCTAGCTCACAGCAACCTCCAACTCCTGGGATCAAGCAATCCTGCTGTCTCAGCCTCCCGAGTAGCTAGGACTATAGGCATGTGCCACCATGCCCGGCTAATTTTTTCTATATATATTTTTAGTTGGCCAATTAATTTCTTTTTATTTTTAGTAGAGATGGAGTCTTGTTCTTCCTCAGGCTGGTTTCGAACTCCTGACCTTGAGCGATCCTCCTGCCTCAGCCTCCCAGAGTGCTAGGATTACAGGTGTGAGCCACTGTGCCCGGTGAATTTTTGAGCTTGGAGCAAAAATAGAAATATAAATTTGAGCATTTGAGCAACACAGTTGTTTAGTGAGAAACGCAAATATTTCTGATTATAAAACTCGAGAGAAATTTCTCTGGGTTCTCAGTCAGAGAAAACGAAATGTCATGTTCTTCATCTATACTCTCATAGAAAACATGGTGGTTGAGATTTAGCAGACTGTTCTTTTTAGGAAATAGCTCTATGCATATATTTTAACATGAGTTGTTAAATATAAGCCATTAAGGAGCCCATATGATGTTTGAGCCTTCTGAAGCTGGAGAGTATCTGTGGACTGATCACACAATTTAGGCAATGCTCATAGGTTTTGTCTCTCTCATATCAACTTTTGAAAGGTATTACACTGTGTGGGACGTCAAAAATTATATACGCTCTGCAAATCCCTGCAATGTGTGTGTTTTGTTTCCCATGCAGTGCAGTGTCAAAGACTTTAATAATCCTCAGAGCTGGGATATAAGATAGGCTGCTACTGCTAGTGAAGTTCTTCAGGCTCCTCGAAAGATTTATCACAAGAGATGCCAAACATTCAGAAGCATATGAAACAAACACAGGCCTTGGTTTCTCCACAGATTTTACACAGCTTCTCTTTTAGTTAGTGTTTCAATCATATTAGCCAAAGTTCATGTACAGGTGAAATGTGGTATTGTAGGTTTACCTAGACTCTTTTAATTTTATGGAGCTTTATAAAACAAAATAGGACTCCTGCTCCTGCCACTTAGTTAACTGGGTTGTCTTGGGAAAGATACTTAATCTTTGCAGGAATATTGTAAGTATCAGGATACCATATATACAACATCCAATGTAAGCCCTTTAAAAATAGTATTGTCTTACCAGCTACCATTTATTTGGTCCATATATCATGTGAAGAACCATGAAAAAAAGACATACCTCAGGAGTATAGCTGAAGTTTTGGGGGGACCATTAAGTATTCTATATACACTTGACGGCCCCTAAAAAATCCAAACAGCTTTTGTAACTATAAATCTAAGTTTCTTAAAGGTAGAAGTTTTACTTTCATTCATACTTCTCTATCTAAAGTGATATAAATGGTAATGATATCAAAACCTACTCTGTGTCTATTATTTTCTTTTCCTAATTTATCAATTACTATATTGGTCTCCCCAAAATATGACAGGCCCTTACAATTATAATTTTGGGCCTAAATCATCTGATTTTGTCTACACAGTCAAACTTCCATTTTGGATTGTTACTTTTATATCAAATATCCATTTAAAGATGCTGTCCTGTTGAGGAATTTATCACCAGATTTTGGCATATTGAAATCCACAAGACAGATTTTAACATGATACACAGTAGAAAAATAATTTAAACCTTATTTCTGGGTGCGATGCTTTTGCCTAATATGCTGGTAATGGTTGATTAAAATAATGGAAATTGCTTTTAAATTCAGTCATTAAAATATATATATATATATATATATTTTTTTTTTTTTTTCCCAGGTGATGCATTCCGGGGCCTCAGAAAAGAAGATAATCAAAATGCAATGCCTTTCAGCACATTGGATGTTGATAATGACGGATGTCACCCTGCATGCCTGGTCAATGGTCACTCCACGAAGAGCTGCAGTCACCTCAATAACAACACTGGCTGGTGGTTCAACCAGTGCGGTCTAGCAAATCTAAATGGCATTCATCACTTCCATGGAAAATTGCTTACAACTGGAATTCAATGGGGCACATGGACCAAAACCAACTCACCTGTCAAGATTAAATCTGTTTCAATGAAAATTAGAAGAATTTATAATCCATATTTTAAATAATCTAATTTTAAATTGTAATGAAATTTCCACAATTATTTTTGATAATATATTGAAGGTTTTATGTAGTTTGTCTTTCTATTTAGTGTTTCAAACATTTAGCTAAAGTTTAAATATAGATGGCATTTAGATGTTATGGGTTTAATTAGCAAACTTCAATTTTGTAGCATTTTATAAAAGAAAATATGACTTGTTCCTTTTTACTACTAACTATATTAACAATATATATAAAAAATTTGTCTTAAGTGAATTATAACTTGTCTTCCTGAAATGTATAGTGATTTCACAGGATTTTACCTTATCTTTGAGACATATAAACCATAGTAAGTTGTCAGGAAAATTGAGGAGAGTATTTTATTTATTTCTATATTTACTTTATATGACTAATTATATAATCTATAGATAATTTCTGTTGAAGACAATTACAAGAAATAACTCTTATACAGATTAATATATAAACTACACAGTGTTTAAAAAGTTTGCTATTTCTATGTGATGCTACAATATTATATAGGAAATAAGACTTGGCTGCCAAAATAAAGTTTTTCCTGTTTTCATATTTTATCATGGTTAATAGTTTTGTTCTCATTTGTAATAAATTTACTGTACATTTATATCTTGATCAGCTGCATTCTAAAACACACCTGTATCTTAACTCTTATTAAACCAATAGGAATGGTACGAACTTCACATGAAAGCTGGGGGAGAAAGAATGACGTCTCCATGGTCCACATGTACTCTAGGCACAACCTGGTGCTCTCTACTTTTTCTCTTAAATTGGAAGGAGTTGGATGGTGAGGATTCCACAGGAGAGAACAGCAGGGCACATGCCAGGCTGAGTGTCAGTTACTGATAAGAGAGACAAAGGAAACAATTAAGAATTAGTTTTGAATAGCAAAGTACTTTGTCCAGAGTCAGCAGCTATCCAATGCACAAAGGAAGGGAGAAGTGGCTGAAAAATGAGGTGGGAAGAGGATTGACCTAAAAGGATATAGATGTCAGAGTGAGATAGCTGAACCCAGAATAGGGCTAAGCTAGGTCAGAACACAGACTCTAATTTGGTTCAGGGATGCAAAAATGACAATAGGGTCATCATTTATGGTTGTTTTCACTTTGATATCCTCTCAAAACAGTAATAAATCATGAGCAGGATATACGTGATGCAGTGAGTACACATGGTTCCCCACAACCTCCTATGCATCCCACAGACACACAGTGAGGTTCTGTGTCTTTGCAGTGGAGTAAGGTGCCTGTCAGGTTGGAGGAACAAAGAACTGTGGTTTCCTTGCCTTTTATACCTGTAGTGATATGGGGACCAGAAGGCAAATTTATCTACAAGTCTACTGAGCAAGTCACATCTATTGTCTGTATTCTGGGCCTTAAAACCCTTGCTGAGCCTGTACTGAGGCAATCTCCCTTATGATACTGCAAGGTCTAGCAGCTCCACATTTTTATCTCATCTTAAATAAAGGCTATGGAGATGATGGAAACAATGAGGGCAAGAGAAGAATGGGAATAAATGTTGGGATGTTAAGGGACAGACAGATCCAGAGAGCAATAAGAGATTTTAATTTTTGGGGGCTTGGGAGTGGGAAGACATATTTGACTTGTGAGTGGCCAGCAGTGGACAATGACTTCCAGAATGCCTTGTGAGAAGCTCTAAAAGTTTTAAGAGATCTCAAACCTCATTGCAAAGGAGAAGGTATATTTTGGTTAATAATTTTGAGCCTCAGATGTCCAGAAATGAAGTGACCTGACCCTTAGGAGAAGTTAAGGGATTTGAGCAACTGTTCTTTTTTCTCTCTTTTATTTTTTGCTATCTATTCTCCCAACAGCAAGCACACATGCCTTAGAAGCAGGCATAAAAGGTAGCAGTACTATATGCCCATAGTGTGAATGACATCATAGGTCATTCTTTGAGGTTCTGAGGACTTGCATGGCTAAAATGGTTCTGCTTAAGATGTGAATGCTTTATTCTTTCATCCATTTACACCTTAATTGGCAGTAAACTCTCTGTGTCCGGTTGTAGGAAAAAAAAATACACAGATCTAATAGCTTCTCTCTATGCCAGCATAGATCAGTTATAAATAGAAAAAAAGTTAACTTAGTCATAAGAGCTTTGAAAGCTATAGTACTTAGATGTATGCTAAAAACAAGTAATGATCTATTTGAAAATAATTATAAAACATTACTGAAACATTACTGAAAAATGTTACTTTTTCAGTAACATTACTGAAAAATATAAACAAGTCTAAATAGCAACATACATCCTGAACTTTGAATGGAAGACTCGATGCAAAGGAGCCCAGCTGTATGACGTTGAGTAGTGGGTGTGAGAACCAAGAGTGGTTTGGCGATGCAGGAACAGTGTGTGAAGAGGACAAAGGTATTGCTGACACACATCACCTCCCTGGCAGATGGGAAATAGGGTTTAGTGGGAAAAATTCTACAGGTGGCAGGTAGAAAAGCCCACTTATCTTAATGAGCAATGCGCCCTGGGGGTGGGGGAGGATTTTGAGACAATACAAGCTTCATGGTTGATAGAGGGATATTTGCTTTCTTCCACACCAACGAGAACACATCTCTCTAACTTCCACCTCTGTGACTAGCCAGAACAGCCAGAGAAAACTGGCTGCTTTTAAGGGGCTAATGTGATTAGGTCAGCCCACCTGCGTAAACTGATTTGGGACCCTCATTTCATCTGTAATGTCTCTTCACAGCAGTATATAGATTAGTATTTAATTGAATAACTGGGAGAAAGTGTGTGTATATCAGGTGCTAGAAATCTTGGAGGCCATCTTAGAATTCTGCCTACTACAATAAAGCTAGACAATTAAAAATTATAATGAGGAAAACAAAAAGTTCATTAGAATAGGAATCCTATTGATAAAAAAATATGTAATATAGAATATGGGAAACTAGAGTTTTATATCAGTGGGAGAAGAGACAGATGGATAAATGGTAATGGGAAAAATGACTACAAATTTGAACATAAAAAGGAACATCTTATTGTGTAAAAATTAATTCCAGGTCAGGTGCAGTGGGTTTCACCTGTAATCCTAGCACTCTGGAAGGCAGAGGTGGGAGGATTGCTTGAGGTCAGGAGTTGAAGAACAGCCTGAGTAAGAGAGATTATATCTACCAAAAATAGAAAAATTAGCCAGGCATGTACCTGTAATCTCAGCTACTCAGGAGGCTGAGGCAGAAGTTTGAGGTTGTAATGAACTATAATGACATCACTGCTCTCTAGCCCAGTGACAGAATGAGGAACTGTCTCAAAAAAAATTAATTCCAGATTGATTAAATATATTTAAAAAAACAAAAGTAATATGTGGCAAATATATGAGTTAATCTTTTTATTTCAAAGGCAGAAAGATTTCATTTGATTAGTTGAATATTTAAAGCTTTTTATACACCCCAAACATCATAAGCAAAATTAGAGACAAGAGAAAAACTAAAAAAAGTATTTTAACAAGTGACAGATTCTATCCTTATATAGGATGCATCCTAAAATCTAAGAAAAGAACATCCTTATAAAATAGGAAAATGTATGAACAGCAGTTGACATAAGTGGTCAATAAACATGAAATTATTTCATAAATCATCATGATAATTAAGACCTAATGTCAGCATTTACATGAGGTAACACTGCTCAGTGTTTATATACGGGGAAGCTGGGAAATGGGCTTACTCATCCTTTTGTTGTAATGTACATTGTTATAATCTTGTTGAAGGGCATATTGATAATACTTGTTTAGAGCTGGGGAATAGTCAGAAGAAAACAGCTTATTCTAATTTTACATAACTTATCCACATATACATAATTATGCATATTCCATCATAGCTAACATTTAGTGTTTACTTTGCATCTCACGCTGTGCTAAATATTATTCATGGATCTCCTGTAGTCCGAAAATCCTGTGAACTTGGTGTTCTCATTTTTCTGATGAAGACAGTCGAATCCGTCATATAACCACAGCAATCCCACTTATGCATACAGGAACTGGAATTTGAACACAGGTCTTCTCAACCCTGTCCATTTTGCTGACATAGCTGGGTGGGGCAGGCAGTATGTAGGCTCATATATGGCTGGCCTTGCCTCGATCTATTTCTAGCCATCTGTCCTCATTGTGTCATTGTGCAGAGAATCTTCTTATAAGTAAGGGGAAATCAATTCTTATGTTGGTTCTGAAATAGATTTTCTGTGATGTTATAAAGAAAGAGTTTGGAAAGCCATATGTTGATGTAATAGCAGGAGATAGTTAGGTAGATGAAAACAAAACCAAGACTTTATTGCCTATTAAAATCAGCCTAAACCAGACTTGCATCAAGCTCATAGTTGTTGTTCACTATCCAAGGTATGATGTAAGAGGTTCATAGGACCTGTGCTTTCAATTCAAATAAACAAGCATAACTAGAAAAGCTTTGAGAAACAGAAATGAGAAAAATTGGGAATATCAAAGCATATAAAAAGCTATTTTCATTTCATTGTTCTTAGTATTATACGTTTAATATAGTCATGCTTTTTGTTTTCTATAAAAGTAGAGTTTAAGAAGTCAGATACTTGTTACGTGGTGCTTAAGAATTTAATGCATTAAACAGCTGGAAATCAGACTTGAGCTATTTCATTTTTCCACTAATGCCCAAAGCATTTTGAAATTCAGCAAGGCTAGCCTTCTGAAACTGAAACAAATGGAATAATGAAAACTTTGGTTTCTTTTAAGTTTCTTAGAAACACATTTGAAATAATTTAATTTTTGTCTTTAATAAAACTGTAACTTCACACTTGGATGCTAATTTTATCACAAAAAGACATTTTTTAAAAAACTCCATAGACATCTCAAAATAGGACTCCAAAAACCTGCCAGACTTATAAGAGGTAAACATTTACTGCCATAAATAAAAATATCAAAGCAGTTGATGATCTGAAAATTAAGTACTTTATTTAATCTTCTGTTGTCTAGAAGACAGTGCTTGAATTAAACTTTTAATTCCACAAGAATAAGCATATAAACAGACATACATTTCTTTAGAATGCAGTCAGCCCTCCAAATCTGTGGATTCCAGATTCTGTATCTATGGATTCAATCAATGGTGATTCAACCAACTTTAGATTGAAAATATTTGGGAAATAAAAGAATCCACAAATAAAAAGCCCAGTACGGTACAATCATTATTTATATAGTATTTCCATTGTGTTAGGCCTTATAAGTAATCTAGAGATTATTTCAAATATGTGGGAGGATGTGTATAGGTCATGTGCAAATACGACATCATTTTATATAAGGGACTTGAGCATTTGCAGATTTTGGCACTGGGTGGTGAAGTCTGGAACCAGTCCCCCACAGATGCTGAGACATGACTGTATATGTGAACCATTATCTTGTCTAAGTTCCTATGTTCTCCATCCAGTTAGTCCCCTGCTAGGTGTCTGTGTCCCCTGGGTATTTACGAATGTTCCAGAGCACAGGCGCAGACATCTCTGTGAATAGCCAGAACACAACTCATGGCTTAGGCTGCTCATTGTTCCTCTTAGGTGCAGAGCTGGAGTTGCACAGGCCTGACACAGCCAACACCGGTCTTAAAATGGAAGGAGTAGGGGCAGAAGAATATTTATGTCTG